TACTACAGTGCCTGTGGACCTTAAACATGTTCTTAAGTGCTACCATTCAGATTTCAGGATGTCAGTGAATTAGTGAAGCTATGGAGGTCTTCTATAAATAAACACATTAAAAAGCCTCTGTGGTCATCTGTTCCTTCCAAAGCATTATGGATCCCATGCACACACACATATGTTCACACTTTCAAAGTTGTATCCTCAAATATAATATTTAAGTAATAAGAATATTTAACTTTCATTGAGTGCTTGCTTCATTGTGAGGCACTGGGTTAAATGCATTATAAGCACACTTTCATTTGATTCTCAAGCAAAGAAAGAGAATAACCCTAGAAAAATGAAAAGCAAATGAGGAAAATTCTATTATCTGTTTACCACCTTCAAAAGTTTCCAAGTCATGGTGGAACCAATATGTAGCCCAGCAGGCTGTCTGCATTGAGATGTAGCTGAAAGTCCAGGGAGATGAGGAAAGCAGAGAACTATGTAGACAGAAAACTCCAGAACATGAAAATATCCCCTTCATATATTCTGCTGAGGACTGACCAGTATATGCATGGAATATACCCAAGACCCAGGAATGAACCACTTGAAAGGATGAAAGGAGACAGTGCCCATATGCACATAGGTGTGTGCTACCCGCACCAGCCAGACCAGAAAGCCTCCAGATTCCAAGAGTACCAGTAAGAGTTGGTAGAAGGGCCTTTTCTCAGTAATGAGGAACAATTAGTTCTAGACTGAATATTGCATTGGTATCTAACCAATTTTCAAGGTAAGTCCCCAACGGATCACTTGGTTTCCAAATAACATAACTCTACCCCAAATCATGGCTCAAGGATATTTATAGAAATACAAAAGCATGTAGTACCCAAGTAGATAATATTCACTATGTCTGATGTCAAATCAAATATTCTGTGGTGTGAAAGGAAATAAAACATAACTTGTAAGAAGGAAAACCAGGGATCAATTGGAACTGACACAGATGTTAACTTTACCAATCCAGGCTATTAAAACAGTGATTGTAACTGTGTTCTATATATTCACATTCTTAAATGGGACATGGAAGATATTAAAAAGATCCAAATGGAACTTCTAGACGTAAGAACTGCAATGCCTGAAATGAAAACTACATTGGGTGGGGCAATTGTCAGAACAGACAGTAAGGGAAAAAAACAATTAGTGGATTTGAAGGAATAACTATAGACACTATCAAAAATGAAATGAGAAATGAAAATAATAACTCTATAACTTAAAATGAACAGAGCATTGTAAACTGTGCAACAACTTCAAGTGGCCTCAGACATGTGAATTGGGGTTCCCAAAGGAAAGAAGTAAAAATATTTGAAGAAATAAAGCCCTCAAATTCCAGTTTTAATGAAAACCATATTCTCACAGATGCAACAATCCCTAAGTACAAGAAATATGAGGGAAACCACAGCAAGGCACATCATAATCAAATTACAAGTGAGTTTTATTTTTAAATTTTTTAAGTTGAAGTAACATTGCATTATAACATTATATAAGTTTCAGGTGTGCATCAATACAAATTAATGTCAGTATATACTACATTAAGTTCACCACTAAAAGTCCCATTTCATCCATCACCATACAGTTGACCCTTTTACCTGATTGACTTACTCCTCTTTCCACTTCCCTTTAGTAACCACTAATCTGGTCTTATAGACTAAATGTTTTATTTACCTCATTCATTTGTTTTGTTTATATACTGCATGTGAGTGGACTCATATGGTATTTAGTTTATTTTTCTCCCTCTGACTTGTTCACTTAGTACAAACCTTCTAAGTTCATCCATGTTGTGGCAAATGGCAGGATTTCATCTATTTTTATAGCTGAGTAGTATTTCATTGTATCTGTATACCAGGACTTTATCTATTTACCTGTCAATGGGCCATAAAAAACTCTGAAAAACATAAGGAGAAAAAAGAAAGGAACAAATATAAATATGATAGAGAGATGCTGCTGGGAATGATGCAAGCGAGAAGACAGTGGAGTAACATTTAAAGCACTGAAATAAAAATAAAAATATAAACGTGTTCATTTAGAATCCTCTGCCCAACAAAAAGAAATCTTTCAAAACCAACAGTGAAATTAAGATTTTTTTTTTAAAAAACTGAAATGTGAAAGAATTCATCGCTAACAGAATTTCAGTATGGGTTATATTAAAGCAAGTGTTCTAGGGAGAAAGAAAATCAAACAGCTAGAAATCCAGATCTATACAAAGAAATAAACAGCACCAGATATAGTAACTGCATAAGTATAGATTTTTTTTCTTACTGAGATTAAAAAAAAATTGACCATTTGAACAAAGTATCAATGTAATAAGAGGTTTCAAACACAGTAATGTAAAATAAAATGGATGCCAATAGCAAAAAAAGGTCAGTAGGGGAGTAATGAAAAAATACTATGAGGTTATTTTACTATACATGAAGTAGTAAAATATTACTGGAGGAATACTATGATAAATGAAAGATGTATGCTGTAACTCTAAAGCAACCATTAAAAGTTATCGCTAATAAGTTAGAAATGGAGGTAAAGTTGAATCCTGAAAAATATTCAATAAATCCAAAAGAAGGCAGAAAAGTGGTAAAAGGAACAAAGAACAGATGGAACAAATAGATCCAAATAATGAGAAGATAAATTTAAATCCACCACTGTTCATAGTCACATTGAATGTAAATGTTCTAAATGGTTCAAGTAAAAGACAGAGCTTGTTCAATTGCCATTTTTCATAGAGGCTGCACCAAATCGTATTCTATCAGTCCATGAGCATTCCTTTTTCTCCACAGCCTTGCCAACATTTGTTGAAGAAACACACTTTAACTGTGAAAGACACCGAGAGGTTAAAAGTAAAAAGATAGAAAATAATATGACATGTTAATCAAGAGAGAGTTGAGGTGACCATATTATTATTAGACAAAGCATATTTCAGAGTGAATAATATTACCAGGGATAATGAAAGTAACTTAGTAATGCTAAAGGTGTCAATTAGTCTAGTGGTCAAAATAATCCTAAATATTTGTGTATCTAATTATGTGACTTCTAAATATATGAAGCAAAAAAAAATATATGAAGCAAAAACTCATGGATGAAATTCACAAATCTACAATTATGGTCATTCAGAGATTTCAGTACTTCTCTCAGAAAATGATAGAACAAGCAGGGATATAGGAGATTTGAGTAACAGTATCCAAACCCTTTGACCTAATTGACATTTATAGAACATTCCACCCAATAACTTTCTTTTCAACCATGTGGAACATTTACTGAGAAGGATCATTTAATGAATCCTTATTAGGTAGATGCTCAGTACTCCTATTTACAGCTGAATAAAGGCAGGCAGGAAGAAATTAGGTAATTTGTTGAAGACACACTACTGCTTTGAATCTAGGCGACAGAACTCTTAATCACCAGTTCTAGGACCTCCCTTGAACACCTGGAACAGCTCAGGTCTCAGTGAAAACTCTGTGACTTAGAATGCAATCCCCTTTAAATAAACAAAGGCTAGGCTGCTCAAATAGCATTCTCTAAATACTACTTGGAAAGGAAGTATGTCCCCCTTCTCCTCTTGTATCCCCAGTCGAAATGGCCTGTCTGCTTCCTTTAAGAGACATGACTTATTGGTATCATAAACTCAGGTTCCAAAGCTGCTGGGGCTGAAAGAGAAGACAGTTGCAGACCATAAAAGACTCAGGGGAGCTGACTCTTCCAGGCTGCCTCACTATGGGATGGGTGATCTAAAACACATTTGAACACCAATCAAGATGTCTGTTTACCCCTCTTTAAATGTCAGGATCCAGACCACTGCCTTTTTTTTTTTTTAAAGATTTATTTATTTATACATACAAGAACTGGGGTATAGGCCAGAGTTTTGGAGGTTGAGAGGATTCACCAGAGACAAAGGGGGGAACAGAACACTGAAAAACACTTCTGAGAGGCGCAGCGGGCAAGTCAGGAAAGGTCTGCTGCGCTATGTGGGTAGCTCCCTGGCGCCACCAGGGAGGCCCCAGACCACTGTTTTTGCAGGAAGGAAATAAGTTTTTATTAAAATGAAGTAAAGAAGCCTTAGTTTAGAGCCGACTTTCTTTGTGCAGCTTCTTATCTCAGTGATTAGTACTACAATGTATATAATAATTACAACATGGAAAAAGTTTGTAATGATCTCCAGGGTGAGGTTTCCTTACTTATCTGCAAGAAAACGCCATAGAGGGGGCCACCTTTTTAATAGATCTTGGACCTAGACTTGGCACATGGCAGTCCTATGAGAGGAAATGTGAATGGGGATATTATTCTGCCTCACCACACTAAGGCCAGGATTCAAACTGCCCAGCAAGCATGTGTCTCGATAATAAGATTTCAAAAAAAATCTGTCTTCTCTTTGAGATCTTTCTCTCTCACCAGGCACCATCTTTTCTACTGAATTTCCATCCTGTTTTCACACCCAGTTTCCTTCCTTCTACCATCTTTCCTAACTACCACCGGCGACTTCCCTCTCTTGTACTCTCTCATTTCCAACAACCTCGTCCTTTTTCCTGCTTGAGTCTCCTCCCTTCCTCCCCCACAGCCTCCAGCGCCCCCTCCTGGCTGGGCCGTGTGGGTGAGCGACTGGAGGCCGGGTGGGCATCTTGACTTCTGGGCTGTGCTGAAGGAGGTGTCTGAAGCAGCGGTGCACACAGCACAAAGAGAACATCCCCTTTTGCGAGTTAATGTGTGTCCCTTAGCGTGCGTCTTGGCGCACGTTTTGGAAGCCGTTGTTTTCCGGGGCTCTGTGGACTGGGAGCGGGGCGCTGGAACGGGTCTGGCCCTGGGACCCCAGGCTCGGGGGCCGAGCCGACAGGGGAGGGGGTGCGGGGGAGCGCGGGGCGGCGGCCAATCAGGAGGCGAAGCCGCGCCCCCTCCCGCTCCGGCGGCAGGCGGGCGGCGGGGAGCCGGGGCGGCGGGACTCGGCGGGACGCGGGAGCACTGAGCGCCCCGGGGCATGGACCGCGCGCTGCCCGCACTCCTACACGCCGGGCGGGGGGCGCACCCAGGCCGGGAGGAGCTGCGTCCGCACAGAGTCGCCCGCCCAGGCCCGCTGGGGTCCGGGTTCGCCGCTAGTCCCCTTCTGACTCCCAGCTGCAAACTTGGTGCCAGTTCCCAGACATTTCCAGAGTCTCATGAGCGGCTCTGAGAGGAAAGCCTCTGCCTGTTGTTGAGGAGGGCTGAGCCCAGAGCGGAGACACTCAGAAAGAAAAGGAAAGAAAATGATTTCCTGGGACACTGCCCGCACCGCGTTGCTGTCTGCGCTCCTTTATTGTGCCCTAGCTCAAGAGGCGAGCCCCCCGGAGGACATCCCCGAGGGGGCCTCCACCTTGGCTTTTGTGTTTGATGTGACTGGGTCCATGTACGATGATTTGGTTCAGGTTATCGAAGGGGCGTCCAAGATTCTGGAGACGTCTTTGAAAAGACCCAAGAGACCTCTTTACAACTTTGCTTTGGTGCCTTTCCACGATCCAGGTAAGGGAAACGTTTATTCTTTGTGTTTATTTCTTAGGATTACTTTATTTCTATGCTGTGAGATCGCCTTTGACAGGAATTCCAAAACCGTTTTTTTATGTGTAGCTAGCTGCAGTCGTAACAAAGAATTGCTGGCTGGCATCTGGCTTGCTCCTTATACCTACTCCAGTCTCCGCCAGGGGCTAGATGGCTTGTGGGGGATGCTTTGTACCGTGGACCCCAAAGCTGGAAGTATGGAATTACGGAAAGCAGAGCCCAAAGTCTTGAGCTATGACATCAGTATCAGAGGGCACTGACTTTTGAATTTTAGAACTAAAGAAATGTTTAATTACCAAGGCCGATTGGGACATGGCTATTCAGCAGCAGTGCTTGGAAGAGCTATCATCCAGGTTGAGCGCACACTTAGGATAAACCCACATGACAAGGGAAGAAACTTGTGTGTGAGACATGAGGAAGCTTGTAGGTAATAACTACTGGGGAGGAGAAAATAAGAGAGAAGCCATTCATTTCTTAACCGAGTCTATTCATCTTTGCACCAGATCATCATTAGTTAGGCTCACAGATGGTTATAAACATTATGTCCTTGTTTCATCCAGAAACGCGTGTAATTTGGAATGGCGGTGTTCTTTAAAGGTAGTTGAAGCAAACTCACTTTATTTTTTGCCCTAAAGCCATGGGTTTCAGCTGCTCCACTGTAATATGATCCTATTTATTTATTTATTTCCCCCTCAGCTTCTCTTTAAAGTGGCACCTTTTTGTGAGGCTTCCAGGAGCCCTCCTTGTCCTTCCCCAGGGCAGCATTCAAGAGGGAGCCTGGGGCTGCTTGTCTAACTTCCACCTGAGTTTCATTAGTTCAGATCGCTGCCTACATGAAGAAATAAAGCAGTGGTTTCTTAAAGTCCTCCCCCACTGTTCTCCCACATTTCCCCTGCTTTGAAATTCTCTTTCCTCAGAAAGACCTTGACACAACCCCTTCCCAGTGAGAGCTTGATGTGAGTCTCAAATTCTTTCCTTGTGCATTTGACAAACATACATGTGTTGAAATTTTTGGTAGCTGTTAAATGTGGCAGGTTTCAGCTATTAAAAAAATGGCACTGGGAGAAGTTTAGAAAGAAATAGAACTTTCTGGTATTATTTTGCTCTGTAGATGATGAAAACAATAACCTATATTACTCTTCTAGCATATACATGTGTATTAGTAATTTCTACATTGAGGAAACATGAAATGTCCCTTATATTTGAATAAGTAAGTGAATGGTTATTTATTGTGTTTGCTGTCTTAGTGAGATACCTTATGTGTTATACTGTTTTAATTTTTTAAATGTCAAGGTGCCAATTGTGATGCAGTTTAAGATTTTTGGAATTAAACAAATTCCAAATTTTGGAATAGCCTAAACATGTTTCTCTATAGGGATGAATCTGAAGTTGGCTGAAAAATAAGTAAAAATTGTTTTCTCTAATTAACACCACAATTTGCTTTTATCCAAAAGCCCTTATGAAATGATGTTGCTGTAACAAGAACACAAAAAAATTGCCTCAAGTCATAAATGGAAACTGAATCATCTTATTTTGATGTGATATGAAAAATTATTGGAATTGTATTGTAATGTGTCGCCTTTCAATTGTTACCAAATGGGAAAGTTTGCTGTAGTAGACTTTCCTATAGTTTAGCAATCATGATTCAAAGTGGGGCAAACTTGGCATGCCAATAAAGATGACTAATAAATTAGAGCTTTTTTTAATTGAACAATGAAAGAATGATTAATTTTCATATTAATGCAGAATTATGAATACTTTATAGTTATGCATAATTCAGAAAAATTATTAATTTCAATTCCATTGTGATTCAAGATAGAAATAGCCAGTGTTTGTTATCTAAGACTATTTAAAGTATTATTGAAAATAAAGTGGGAAATAGAAGGTAAAATATATTAATAGCCTTTAGTTTACTGATCCACTTTAAAGGATTATATTTGTGTGACATTTTCTGTGCGTGTGTATTATCCTTAAGAATTTTTGATTCCCATTTATTTCTGATTGACAATCTTCTCCATCTAACACACAAAGGGCCTTGAATGGGGGTTTGACTGTTTCTCTGAGTGCAATTTTAAAAATCATTTTTTCTCTTTGAAACTATTTCCTCAACTTGTGAAATGAGAGGCTTGGAGTTGGACATCTCTCAGGTCACTTTTACTATGGCATCTGATGATTGTCTTTCACATGTAGCTATTTTTCATAGTTATAACACTTACTCCTATGATTGGGTAATGCAACTAACATGAAAAGAAACAATGTGTGGAATTTAATATAAAATTATATTAATAACCTTGAATATTTACAGCTTTCAAAGCCCATTTACATCTGCCATTACATTTGGCCAGACCAAATAAGTAATGATATGACCTGGGATATAGTTTAAGATATTTGACAAAAACACAGGGTTTTGCAGGTGATTATTTAGATCTCTGGATTACAGTTGGGATAGGTGCATGTTTGCAAGTGGAGATAAAAAACCCATGGTAAAAATAGATATAGAGGCTAAAAACCATCTAACAAGTTATGTAATCAGCTGACAATGAGGGGATGAAGTCACTTGGAATGTGTGCATGAGGCAGCCAGCCTTGGAGGACCAGCAGTTCACCCTGGAAGAAGGCTGCATTGGAGAGCACCAGGGGTCTTGAAAGCCAAGCAATCTGTGATGCTGACTGTGATTAAGATTTGTTTTTCACTTCTGTTATCACATTTACGCTATTAATTTTAACAAGTTTAATGAGATACAATTTCCTTACCATGCAATAATGTGTTTAAAATGTACATTTCAATAGTTCAGTCTGTGGTGTATTTCCAGATATGTATGACCCTGTATACAGTCAATTTTAGAATATTTTCATCACCTCAAAGAGAAACCCCTTACTTTTCAGTTCCTTAATTATCAAATCCTTAATTCTCTATTACACTTGCCCAATCCCTAATCACTGTTAATCTACTTTTACCTCTATAGAGTTTTCTTTTCTGGATGTACGTATGAATGGATTCATATAAATATATGGTATTTTTTGGCTGGATTCTTTAACTTTAGTATTTTTCAAGGTTCATCCATATTTAGTTTGTATCCTTTTTATGACCAGATAATATTCTGTTGTATGGATATACCACATCTTGTTTATCCATTAATTAATTATAGACATTATGGATATTTGGGTTTCCATTTTTTTGGCCGTTGTGAATAATGCTGCCATAAGCCTTTGTGTACAAGTTTGTGTGGCCATGTACTTTCATTCCTCTTGGGTATGTAGCTGGATCGTAGTAACTCTGTGTTTAATTGAGGAACTGCCAGAATGTTTTCCAAACCAGCTACACCATTTTACAGCCCTACCAGCAGTGTTATGAGGGTTCTGATTTGTTTACATCTCATTTATACTAGCTTATTAATTAAGCTTTTTAATTATTTTTTTAAGATTTATTTATTTATGCATACAAGAACTGTGGTACAGGCCAGAGGTATGGGGGGTGAGAGGATTCACTAGAGACAGAGAGGGAATCGAACAGGTGGATCTACTGAAATACACTGCTGAGGGGAATAGTGGGCAAGTCAGGAGATGTCTGCTGCGCCATGTGGGTAGCTCCCTGGCCGGCCGGGGATCAAACTCATGCTACAGTGGCTGCGCATAGCTTCATATGCTGCGTCTTAACCTCTTGCGCCAGCAAGGAGGCGCTAAACTTTTTAATTCTTATGTATTAATTTTTGCTAGGCTTTTATAACACTGAAAATGTATTTGTCTTCCTTAGAGCAAAACTTTGGGGAGGACTCATGGTCTATGTGTGACTACAGCTTCTTTACTCACCTGTCTTTCCTTTTCCCTCCCCTCCTTAATGCCCAAGCAGAGAGGGGGAAGAACATGGAATAGTGTATTTTAATGAGGCACTTCATATAAGGAAGGTTTCTTTTCTTCTGCTTCACAATTATGTCTCCATTCCCCCCCCACCAGGAAATCTTATATAAGTCTTCATTCATTTATTCATTCACTAACCTATTATGTTTAAGGCATTGCTTTAGATATTGGGGATAGAAAGGAGCAAAATGGATGAAAGCTCTTGCATTCATGGAGCTTACATTCTTTTGGGAGGAAAAAAGCAAAATAGAAAATAATTAAAATACATGTCGTATGTTTGTTGATAATTGCTTTGGAGAAAAGTTTTAAAAAGACATGTATGGGGAGTTTGAGGTGGACTCAGTGGTATAGTTTTGAGTGTGATCAGGGAAGCTTCCACTGGAAAAGGTCACATTTGAACAAAGGCTTAAAGAGGAAGAAAAGAGCAATGATGATATCTGAAGAAAGACTTGCAGAAAGAGGAATAATAAATGAAAAGCCTTAATGGCAAGTGTCCTGACTTTTTCATTAAAAGACTGGTTTATGTAGAGCACAACAATAGATGTAGGAAGTGAGGCCGGAAAGATGTTGCAGCTGGGTGAAAGGGTTCTTTAGCTATTGTGAGATGGCTTTTCTCTGAGTGAGGTAGGAATCACTTTAGGGTCTTGAACAGAGCAGTGGCATGATCTGATTTATGCATCCACATAAGCATTCTGACTGTTGTTTGGAAATAGTCTAAAGTGGAGCGAGGGCAGAAACAGGGAGGATATAGGGTTGTTGTATTTTATTATATCTTTCTGGCAGAGGGGGGTGGTATACCAGAGGTGAGGCTGGTCCCTGTAGAAGTTTTGAGAAACAATCAGATTACATATCCATATTGAAGATAAAACCTAAGGGATTTATGATGAACTGGATGGACAGTGTGAGAAACAAGATAGATTCTGAAGATTTGGTTTGAGTGGACACAATCATACCATAAACATTTACTGAGATAGAGAAGGATGAGCAAGAAACAGGTTTAATAAAGAGTGGGAAGATGAGGTCTTCCTTTTTGGATATGTTAAAGTTTGAGATGTCTTTTGGGACCCAAGTGGAGATAGTAAGATGGCAGTTGGATATATATATGAG